TGACCTTCTGGAGCCTGTGTGAGAAGTGATTGTAAGCTATGGTGCTATAGGTGGCAGAAGCTCCAGCCCCTTCTTCCATCTCTTGATCATGTCCTTAGGTAAATCAGCTTTCCTCAAGTGGACTCCTGACCAGGTAATTGACAAAAACAACTGGATTAACTCCTAAAGAAAAAAGACGGTAGTGTGTACTCTTATGATCTTTGAAGTATTACTACCCAAGGATACGTGTACTCCATTCATTTGACCAGGCATTCATTTGACCAGGAGGTCAAGGAGAGGCAGTTATGATGCTTGCTGTTCTAGTGTTAATGGGGAAATGGAAACTTAGGGAGGATGACCCATTCTCAGTGTCCCCCAAAGCTGTTAATTTCTCCTCAAGAGTTGAGACCCTAAATTACTTAGAAACCAGACCAGGGACCAGTATTTCCAAATACTTGTAGCATTTCTGGCTTCCAGCCAGGGCAAGATCAAGTTTCCAGTTTCCCTTCCAAGGGCAAAAATTGGGTCTTCATCCCTAAACTGCCTGCACTGTTTACTGTGTCTTGTCAACCATTGTTTCTGATATTACTCTACCATTTTCTTTATCAAACATTGTGCCTATGGAGGTGGCTTTCCATCACAGGGGTTCTTTGTATGGACACTTTGTTTTCATGTGACCTTTACCTTTCCTTGGAGGTGGTGTGTTGATGTTAAGTTACTGTTGCTATGACTGGATTTAAATGTCATTTGGGCTTTGTTTTTTTGTTACTATGTCCGGATCTTTGTGTTTTCTTTTGTCAAATCTCTTTGGAGTTATTTTTCTTACTTCATTTTTATTTTTGTTTTTTTCTTTAGGTTTAAGTTGTCTTAATTCTGGCTGCTTTTTAGAGTATAATAAGCATCTTTAGCTTTGTAATCATTGAGTTGATTTTTACATTACTTCTTATTTACTGTTGTCTAAAACTTAGATCCTTGTGTTCTTTGGGTTACGAATTTTTCTCCGTCATCTCCATTTCTTAGAAATTATGAGAAAATAATACCACCTTTTACATTTAACTTTTAATATTTTCAGCTTTTAATTTTTTTTCTTGATACTGGGTTTTCTTGTTTTAATTTTTCTTTATCCTGAAGTATTTACTTTCTGCAAAGTCTGTTAGAAACAAATTGATTTAAGTTGTTGTTTGTTTTTTTGTTGTTGTTGTTGTTGTTGTTCCTCAGAACATATTTGTGTCTTGACTTCTTTGTAAAGGCTACTTTGCTTGTTTATGGACTTGTGGGTTAGAAGTTCTTTTCTCTCACTTGTATAAAGAGAATCCATTGTCTTCCAGCTTTGATTCTTTATTAAGAGATGCTGTGTTCCTGCCTCTGTGTGTAATCGATTAATCTACCCTGGTGCTGCCAAAGTAAAGCAAACAAGATTTTAAAGGCAGTAAGAATGGGTGCTATTTTGTAGTTTCTACAGGGAGGAAAGGTGTGATTTCAGTTTTGACTTGTGTAGAGATGACTGAGCATTAAAGGAAGAAAATTGGGGACCCAGGCAGAAATATGGGGGTAGGGAGGGAACAGAAGGGCCACTGGGTGTTGTCGTAGGTAGGCATCTCCGTGTGCTAACTTGATACCTGCTCAAGTCAGTGACTGGCTCCTGGAGTAGGGCTGGGCCTTCAGAGAAATTGTCTGCCTCAAGGTCCTTGAGAGGAGCTTGCAGAGTTGGAAAAGATTTGTACCAGAAGGTTCTAAGAGAAGACAGTGGCCTGTTCTAGCTTGTTGAGTAGTTTAAATTCCTTGGTGTTGACCAGGCCTCTTGGGTGTTTACATTTAGTTTTTTTATTAAGTTGAAAATGTTTTAAGACTTGAAAATATTCCAGCCATCTTCCCCTTATCCATTAATTTATTTCAGGTTTTGTTTATTTACTTACTTATTTTGCTATTTTCTTTTTATGTAACTACACACATTACTGAGACTTCATTTTGTTTGTGAGTCTCTTATTCTTGGTTGGCTAATTTTTGCTAATGTATAAGTTCACTCATTTATTCCTTGGCAGTCAGGCTCCTTTTTTCATATTCTATTTAATTCATTTCTATATTTGTTGAGACTCCTGATCTGTTCATTAATTTCAGGAACATATTCATAGTAATTCCTTTAAAGCTCTCATTCAACCTGTTTCTGTGGCTTTTAGTTTTGTATACTAGTAATCCAAAACTGAGCATTGTAGAAACTTGGAATTCTGTTGTCCCCCCTTCTGAAGGGTTTTGATTTTTGTTTTAGCAGGTGCCTAGGAGCTTTATGATCTAGACTTTACTTCTGCTGTTGGTAATGGCTACTGTCGCAGTTGCAAGTGCAGATTTCATCAACCCTCACAAGTCTTGTCCACATGTGTCAGGCAAGGAGCCGGGCAGAGGTCATAGTTGTTAGAAGATAATTCCTTGTGGCTCCTTTATTTACAGTTAAACTGCTGTTTCATGCGTAGGCTGTAGTTGTCCTGAGTCACAGGCTGGGGACTGCCCAGTAAAAAGTCCTAGAAGTGCAGCTCTCATCCAGTGTGCCATTCCGCATCCGCAGGTTGACGCCTTTCAGATGCCATGTTTCTGGTCTGTTTGTCTTTAAATACTTTTCTATTTGGTTGGTCAGAGCTGTGATTTGAGGAAAACTGACCTAATTAAAGCTCCTGGACTTTGCTGGAAACAGAGTCTACCTGTGCTTTTCAGCTGGGATTTGTGATGTAATAATTCTCAGCCTTGTAGGACTAGTCTCTTCCTGGGCCTTCTCCTTGTGGCTCTTACAGTGTTACTTAGAGAATCTTGTCTGGGTTGTAAAACTATGAATTAGGGGCATCGTGTGCTTTTGTATTTAGTTATGCTAAAGTTGTTTCTTTAATAATTACACATACTTATTCGTTGCTTTGTATGTGTTGTTACAGAGTGGGTCTGTTTTGAAGAGTTATTCTGCCTGGGTGTGGTAACCATAACTCCAGCACTTGGGAGCTCAAGCAGGATTGTGTGTTTCAAGCCAGCCTGAGCTACTATAAAACAAACAAGCAAACATGTTACTAGCTAAAATTAACATTTTTAAACAATGTTTCCAGTTTGAGGGACATAGCAAATGAATGATGCGAGATGTATGGTGTTATGATGACAGAGGTTGGATTAGGCTGAGGCCTACATCACTGTGTCTAGACCCATTCACGGTCCTGCTCATAGCTCTTTATTCTTTGGTTTATTTCAGGCCCAGGACAGTATAGCTTAAGTGCTTTGTGCCCTAATTATGGTTCTCATGTTCTCAGAGGAACCTGAGTGAAATGTTCTTCCTAATACCGTGACAGAATAGTCTCCAATTATGCTATTTTTTTTCTTATTTTTTCAAAGAGAATCAGCTGTATACTATTCATTATAGTTCAGAATCATAAGAGGAAGGTCTAAATTATCCTCATTTATTGTCTTTTTCTGCTTTTCATAGTATAATGATGTACTGTTAAAAAGTGAGATTGTCTAAAACATGTAAGGGGAGCTTAGGAAAATTTCCAAGCATGCTTCCCCCCCCCCGTTTTTCTGTCTGTCCCTCTGTCCTACTCTTTCCTTTCTCATCTTTCCTACCAACTGTTCATTCCAGTTACTGTGTGCTCTAAATCAAGGGTGGCCTGCAGCTGGCTAGCTGTTTTAAGGGGCCCTGGGTCACCCTAGACCAGTGGCTCTCAACATGTAGATTGCAACCCCTTTTAGGGGGTCGTGGAACAACTCTTTCATAGGTTGCCTAAGACTATCAGGAAATACAGATACTTACGTTACTACTCCTACCAGGAGCAAAATTACAGTTATAAAGTAGCAGTGAAAATACCTTTATGGTTGGGGGTCACCACAACATGAGGACTGTGTTAAAGGGTCGCAGCAGTAGGAAGGCTGAGAACCACTGCTGTGTTTAGCCTTAGGAAAACCTGCGCTTTCCTGTTGCCCTTTGTTGATCCAGTTATCTCACAAAGTGTGAGCAAATGGGAAACTCAGTATATTTTTAAAAGTTGTCAGAAATGTTCCTTTTCCCTCAAATTTTGACTTTAGTAATACGAGAGAAGTGGAATTGGAAATTATGTTTGACTGATTTAAAAAGTACAGCTTCATAGCCAAGACACAAGGCAATCAAAAGGTCCATTCTGAAGGTTCCCTTTAAATTCTTCCCTTTGCCTGCAGTCTAGTAGTTACTTTGAAATGAAATAGTAGTTCAGGGGAAATAGGGTGAATTGTCTTTGACCTGTCCATGTTCTGGAAAGAGATGTGGAAAAAAAAATGTAAGCTGTATTTTAGTAGAATGACTTCAGTTTATCTACTCTGCCCTTTGTACATAGTAACAAGACAGCAATTACAGCTTTCAGTAACATGGACTTTCTGAAGTTATTATAAACAGATAACCTGGAACTCTTAACTGTGGATGTGATTGTTTATTTACTTATTTGCTTTGAGACAGGCTCTCATAGACCAGGCTGTCCTTGAATTTCCTGGCTTAGAGTAAGCAAGCAATGAACTGATCCTCCTGCCTCCACCCTTCCAAGTGCTGGAATTATAAGTGTGCGCTACCACACCCAAATGATAAGTGTTTCTTTTAGCTGGGACTTTTTCTATATTAAAAGTACCAGTTGACAGCTATTTTTAATTGAATTGTTTTTTTTATTGCTGTTTTTTAAAACTGAGTAATGAACTAAAGCCTCATGAATGGGGCTAATGCCATGGGATGAACTCTTTGAATAGAGGAGATTGGCAAGGTCGTTATAGGTATGGTTTCATTAGGTTAGCGAGCATTGGTGTTCACATATAAAAACATAATCATAACTTATCTGGAGTCACATGTTCCATTTTATTGGCTTCCTTCATATAGAAAATATAGTGGCCAGCACTGACCCACCATGGGTGAAGCTATGTATATTTTCTGGGTGAAGGAAGTATTCTGTACATTCTCCATGCTTTGCATCATGGTATTTTGAATAACCATGCTTCCATGTTCACATCAACTTTTTGTTTTTTCAATTTATGCACAGCACTTGCTCTGAAATTTGGGGACTGAGTACACCAAATACGGTAGATCAGTGGGATACAACAGGCCTTTACAGCTTCTCTGAACAAACCAGGTGAATATTCTGCCCTCCATGGGACCCTAGAGACCGTGTGGGAGGGTGGTGCTTTGGAAGACCTCGACTGGGTTGCTTAGTGTAACTTGCCTAGGATGTTAACTTACTGTGAGTAAGGCATAGCACGTAATGTATCCGCTTGCCAGTATTAAAACTATATCAATGTTTCAGCTTATGTTTTGATAAATGCAATTTTAGTTTTGAATCTTTAAATTATTGTGTCCCGTAAAGAATAAGACCTTTTTATAGCTATATACTCATTGTAGCCCAAGATTAGATAAATTTGTTATTGGCCTAATTTTTAAGTAGATAAATGACTAGTTTTTCCTAAATTTCTTGTTATCATCAAAATCTCATCTTTATACTAGTACATATTTGATGAACCTCTTACATGACAATTAACAGTAGGCTAACTTGTTTTTCTGTCACCTTTTTAAAAAAATCACTTCATTTCTTTTAAGCATATTGGTATTTGTCCATTCCATTTCATCACCATCTGCATTTCTGTGTGAGCCTCATGAGTAAGCCTCAGGTGCCAGAAGTCACACTTAAATAATAAGTTATGTTAGTCTGAGTTAGTTACTGTTGCATCATTGATACTTACCATTTTCATACTACTTCCTTTTTTTGACAACCAGTTGCCTTCAGAATTAATGCCTTTGAAAGCATTTAGCTTATTAAAAGTGGATGCTGATGAAGTTTTCGAGTATAACCACATGACATTTTCTGTATCGCTTGCCCCACGAGGCTAGCCTTCCATTGGCATGTGAGTTGTTGTATGCACACTGGTAGGAGACAGCTGCTAGTGCTGCTGCTTGCTTGATCAGATCCAAGCCAGAGCGTACTGTTCCTCTTGGGTATCTCTATTGCTAACTTCATGGTGTGGTTTCCTTTATTGTGCTCTTAGTATATTAATTTAGCCCTTTGATGACACCCAGTCTCACCTTTTAAAAGTGCCCTCCTTTTTCCCCCCCTTGCTTCTTGAATAGGTCTCTTGATGGTCGTCTTCAGGTTTCACATCGGAAAGGGTTGCCACATGTTATATATTGCCGGTTGTGGCGCTGGCCGGACCTTCACAGTCATCATGAGCTCAAAGCAATTGAAAACTGCGAATATGCTTTTAATCTGAAAAAAGATGAAGTATGTGTAAATCCTTACCACTACCAGAGAGTTGAGACACCAGGTAGGAAAACTATAGGCGTTTTTTTTGTTTGTTTTGTTTTTTCTTGTTTTTTGTTTGTTTGTTTGTTTGTTTTGCTTTCCTGGTTTTAAACTAAAAGGCTGACTGAAGGCTAGTACTCCTTGTATCTCTGGGAAATTCTAATGTAAAATTTTCTGATAAACTACCTTAAATTGAGTATATTATTTGGTAGGGGTTTTAAATGCTTGCTTATTTTTTTTAAACTTTTATGGAAAAAAAAAAAAACCAAACTTGTCTTGGAAAAGGGCCATATCCATTTCTTGGGAGTGTACTCTCTTGGACAGCAAGGTATGTATCCAGGGAACCCACAGCTTTGCTGTCTTCTGAGAGCCATCCATGTCTCTGTAGTACTGGCTGCTTACAGCACCCCACCCTGAGTGCTTTCAGAGTCACTTAAATGGCTTGTTCATTGAAGTGATTTGGTGAACTCTGTGGTAGGACTTCTGGTGAATGATGGACTTAAAACTTTAAAAAAAAATTCTATGCTTTTAGAAAAAAAGTTTGACTTTAGTGTTAGTGATGATATTGTCTCACCATTTTTCTCTCTCCTTTCCTTCTTTCTCTTTTTCTTTTCTCTCTCTCTCTCTCTCTCTCTCAGATAGGATTTCACTGTGTAGCTCTCTTTGGCTGTCCTGGAATTCTAGACTAGGCTGGCCTCACATCCACCTGCCTCCCTGGTGCTGGGATTAAAGGCCTGCGCCACTACCATTGGGTTCCCTCATCATTTCTAATAGAAATTTATAAATTCCTAGAGTAATTACAGGGTCACATTGTTTTCCAAAGTAAATAGACATTAATTTGCAAGCTTAAATGGTGAATTGTGTGAACAGTCCATGATGAGATTTGTCAGTTTCTTAGTGTCAAAACACCAGATAACTGTGCTCAGACTTTGAAAGGTGAAGCTACTGCCTTCTGCCTTGTGAGAACTTTGAGTAAGCTTCCCTTACACACTTGCCACTAACTAAGATTTCTTTAACTCTTTCAGTTTTGCCTCCAGTATTAGTGCCTCGGCACACAGAGATTCTAACAGAACTGCCGCCTCTGGATGACTATACTCACTCCATTCCAGAAAACACTAATTTCCCAGCAGGAATTGAGCCACAGAGTAATTACATCCCAGGTATTTTTGCCTTGAGAGTCTCTTAAAACTTGGGGAAATAGCAATCTTGCAACAAACACCCAAGTATTAGAAATGTGGTTTCATTTTCAGGGTGTTCTTGACTTTAGATGGAAAGTCTCATTTGTGGGAAAATTGTATTGGGCAGTGTGTGAGTCTAGTTACACTTAACGTTTATTTGGATACAGGTTTACTTTTTATTTTATTTTGCAGTGGCTGTAAACAAAGTACTGTAAGAAGTAGGAAAAAGATCCTAGTAGGTTTGTCATAGCTATTGAAGTAGAGAGAGTTGCAAAGTGAAACCTAGTGTATGGTTAAGACAAGCGTCTCTAGAACAGTCATAACCAGACATGTAAATAATCATCTCTCCATGTGTAATTTGGTAATGCCTACGGCAAATAAACATTCGTAATAGAACATCTTAGTTTTATAGATAAACAACACATTGAAAACAAGAAGGTGCTCAGTTGTGTTTTTCCTGGGCGTTCTACTGGAGAAATGAGTGAATTCAACTCCATGGTTCTCAAGCTCTATTGTAAAAACTGTGCTTTCAGAGTGTGGGGTGTGTGTGTGCATGTATGGAGGAGGAGGACAGCTTTGTAGGGTCAGTTATCCCCTTCCACCTTTGCAAGAATGCAGGGGCTTGAACTCCGGTTGCCAGGCTTATGTGGCGATACTGTACCTGCTGAGCCATTTTACTGTCTCTCACATTCTGTCTTGTGTCTTGTTTTATGTGGCCTAGTAATATTTCACAATTCAATACCAATCTCTATAGTTTTTACTGTTTTCTAGAAAAAATAGCTACTATTTTGTTACTTTTTATAACAGCGTTTGTTTGCTTTTATAATAACAGAAACTAATTAGGAATTAATTGTAGTCTGGATTTTTACTGTCTCTTAGTCTCTGCCTGCCTCGTCCTCCTTTGTATGTCAAAAGAGTAGATATTAGGTCTTTCCTTTCCTCTTTCCTTTCCCCTTTCCCCTTCTCTTTTCCCTTTCCTTTCCCCTTTACTTCCCTTCCCTTCCCCTTCCTTTTCACTTTCCTTCCCTTCCTTCCCCCTTCCCTTCCCCTTCCCCCTTTTCCTCTTTCTCCTTTCCACGTCTTCCTTCCCCCCTTTCTTCTTTTCTTTTAGACAGGGTTTCTGTGTGTAGCCCTCACTTTAAATGCACCCCTGTCCTATGCCATCCTGCCTACTGCTCCCGGATTGTAGTGTGTAGAACCTTTATTTAGATGCTAGTGTTTTATAAAGGAGCAAATTAGAAGTGAAATATACCAGTTTTTGTGGACACTGTCAGTTCCCAGTAATAGCAAAACCAAAGAATTTACTTTTGTTACATTTCAAAATAGTTTTATTCAAAATTTTTATTACTTAAAATTATACATGTGCCTGTGTGTCCATGTGCGTGCGGGTGCCCAGAGAGTCCCTCCAGCCCTCAAAAGAACTGAACAATTTTTGAAAATGCTGAAAGTTCTTTTTATCAATATAGATAAATAATAATGGATGATAGTAAAGAAATAGGATGAGATAAAGTGTCTTAGAATTGAGCTTTCTCCATCTTTGAAACTGATGTTTCAAAGCTTAGTTTTTTAAATTTTCTTAGTTTTAATCTCTAAAATAAATGTAATGATATGAATTATTTTTATTATTGTTTGGTTATATGAAGATAACTTTTAAACATTTAGTTTTAAACATTTTGATATATTGATTTCTATATGAGAATTTAGGGGGCAGTTGGTTTAAGACTTTTTTTTTTTAACTGTGTAGCCCAGGCTGCTCTCAAACTTGAAGAGATTCTCCTACCTCTGTTTTCTAAATGCGTGATTAAAGCCATCCTTCTCCCCTTTGAATAATGCCCGAATTTTTTTTATGTTGAGTTGCAGTTAAAAATTGAAAATGGCACACTATTGAAAATCTTTTGTACTTTTTTCCTTAAAAGTCACAAATGATGAAACTGTATGCATGCTTTTATTGTCTTTGAAATTTACTCAGCTATACAGGTACCTCTTGAACATAAATGTCTTATTCAGAAAATGTGTTGGAAATGATTTTAGAATCGTAATTTTTCAGCGAGTACTTCTGTCCATTTTCTGTTTCAAGCATTCAGAACTGTTAAGCAGTTAGAAAGCCCAGCAGGAAAGGTGGGAGCTTTTTCAGGTAGAATCCAGGCTAGATCAGTCTTGAGCCATGCTTCTGTAACTTGCCCTATGTGGGTAGTGTAGACTGAAATTGGGGCTATTTGTCCATCCATGCCTGTTGTCTACTAGTTTAAAAATAAATGGTAGTACTAATATGTCTTTGAATCCTGCTGAGGGACATCTTTGATTTTGGTTTTTGGCTGTTGTCCCAGAATGTGTACATACAAATCAAATGGTAAACAATGTTAAAGAAAATATACCAGGAAAGCTGTATTATGTTACAAGCCATCTTTATGGATTCACCTGTAAGATAGGATTAGAGCCTCAATTGCAAGCCTAGTTCTGCCTTTTATAATGATGTTTTGTATACATACACACACATGCATATACCCATAATATTCCAATTTCCTTTTTTATAATGATATATACTTTTTTTGGTTTCCAGGTGATTCATTGCTTGCATTTGGTAGCTAGGAGAAAAAGCTGAACTCAAATCAACTATACTTGATTTGTTCTTTTATAGAAACACCACCACCTGGATATATCAGTGAAGATGGAGAAACAAGTGATCAACAGTTAAATCAAAGTATGGACACAGGTAAATATTAATTTCTCAGTATCAGTCATTGTAATCTCAGATCACATCACTAGAGTCAACCAGCCACACATTAAGAATATTTGAGAATAGACTCTGGAGCCTATAACGATGGCTCAGTAGCTAAAGGTGGGAGTAGCTATGTCAGCCTGAGTTTGATCCTCAGATCCCTCAAAGTAGAAGGAGAGAATCAACTCCCATAACTTGTTTCTTTTTTTTTTTTTTTTTGAATTTTATTTTTTTCTTATCAGTTACATTTTATTAACTCTGTATCCCGATCCCTCATTCCCTCCCAGCTCCTCCCTCCCTCCCTCCTCTCCACCATGCCCATTTCCAAGTCCACTGATAGGGAGGACCTCCTTCTTGACCACCACACGTGCACTGTGGAAGGCACATGCACACACAACCGCTACCTATCACAATGCGAAACAGAGTGCATTCAAGAGTAATGTCTGCTGGCACCCTGAACTTAGAGAAAACAAGACAAATCTTCCATCTTGACAGTATCTGAGCTATCAAATGGGCTACTTTATGCATGCAGTTGGTAGATATTCCTCTTACTGGAGTAAGTGAAAACTTGGAAGGACTCAGTACCTCCCCCACCTCCAAGTATTCCATGCTGCTGTCTCATGAATGAATACCTTTCATAAAAGACCACGGTCACCCTAGTAACTGGTTTTTAAGAAGGATTTGAGACTAGAAGAGGGGGACCAGCTTTTCTGTGCTTCTTTAACTTAATAGTGAATTCTGAATTAGAGTAAACTGTTAACACAAAATACATTGTCCCTGATCTGAATTTGATTAATTTCCGATAATTAGCTATTATATCCAGTGTTGGGAAAGTTTCAACATATAATAATGAATATTACATACCACAAAGTTTTAAGTTGTTTCTTAAATAATAAATTCTATAACCCAGGGGAGCCAAGTAGGGTAGTCATGAGAGTGCTTTGATGTCATTGTTCAGTGTGATTTATTCAACCTGTCTTACCTTAAGGATTAGTTAGTGTCTTAGTCACTGTTCTATTGCTGTGAAGAGAAGTCATAAGCAAGGCAATTCTCATGAAGAAATTGAGGGTTTGCTTACAATTTCTTTTAAGCAAGGTTTAGTCCATTGTCATCACAGTGGGAGCATAATAGCATGCAGGCAGGTACTGCTGCAGGAGCTGAGAGCTACATTCTGATCCATAGGCAGAGAGTGAGTGAGCCTACAGTGATACATGCAACGAGGCTTTATGTCCTAATTCTTATCTTGTAAATAGCGCCACTCCCTGGTGACTAAGCATTCAGATACTTGAGCTTATGAGGGCCAGTCTTACTCAGACCATCACAGTTAGTAATCCAAACTGACCTGAAGCTCATTGTGTGGCCTACTCTCTCCTGTAACTCATATCCTCTTGCCATGAGCATGAGCCACTATTTCAACCTGTCTAAATTATTTTTAATGGAGGAACATTGGAGGGGGGAGTGGAGGACTTTATATGAATTCTGTTGTTTGACTTCTTCCATACTTAGATACCCAGAAAAGATGTTTCTGCTGCAGCTAATATTTATGTCTGGCTGTGAGAGTGGCAGATAGAAAGATAGATGATAATCTAATGAAATAGCATGTTATGTATGTTAGTGCACGTGATACTTGACTTTTCAAGTATGTCTCCTTGACACTCAGTATTTGTCAATGAACAGTAGTTGTTGCACTGTGGTAGGTAGCCGTTACCATGACATTGAAAGTGGGTAACATAAAGTTACTGATCACAGGTGAAATAGTGTTTCAACTTCTACATTCCTGTATCAAGAGGAAGAGTTTAACTATTAGTCAAGTTGTGGAAAAACTGGAACACTCATTATTACTGATAAGAATGTCAGTTATAACCACTTTAGCAAAATTTGTTGTCCTTCAAAAATTAAATATAAGATTACTACATAGTCCCATCATTTCACTCCCAAGAGAATTTAAACAGGTCCACATAACACTTGGGCAAAAATGTTTGTGTTGTAAACATCATATATATAATTTCACAAATGGAAACAACCCGGATGTCTTAGCACATTTTGAATGGCTGAATCACAATCACATGAGGGTACATCCCTACAGTAGAAGTGCGGCCTGAACCCGTGGCAGTGTGACCTTGCTGACACCTGTGAGAGGAAATGGTTTTAAGCTGTTCAACTCGTGGTACTTTGTATGTCAATATTGATTGGCTAATATAAAACTAAGAAGGTTTTGAGAATACATTGCTAATATTAATAGCTTATATTTAATAGTTTGTGAATCACATAGGTAATTTAATATATTCTCTTTCTCTCTTTTTTTTTTTTGAGACTGGATCACAGTCATGCTGGGCAGTAATCACACATCATGGTCTTAAACCCACCAGACTAGTCCCAAACTCACAGGTACCATTGTGTATCAGCCTCCCAAATTGTTGAGATTACAGGCATGTACTACCATTCCAAGCCATGTTATATTTTTTAGCATATACAAAAATTGGAGATGAAAGGATAAAATTAAGTAACTGGAAAATAACCTGTAGTTTTCTCTTTTTGTTTTTCTTACAAGCCAGTTCTGTACCTGGAGGGTACAGAAGGGGAAAGGCGACAAGCAGTTGCAGGGTTGTCTCTGGCCCCCGCCCCACGTGCCACGACACACATGTCATACTCAGTAGTTTTTTTTAATAACAATAACAATATTTTTTTATGATTGCAGAATAATACATGCATAATTCTCTATTGAGGAGGATGTTAACTGAAAATATAGTTTATATATGTTCTTTGTCTGATTGAAAAAAGTTCTATTCATCAATTTATTGATTATGGTGATAGGCAATCCTAATGTCTCATGCGTGCTGAAAGGCCATTACCACTCTTCTGTACCCTCAGCATAGTTTCTGTATTCTGTGAGATTCTAATGATAGTGTTGATTGTGAGGAAGGTGTGGGGGGGGTATCTGTTTTAGGGGGGTGTTAAAGACATTGGGGAGATGAGAGAGTGAAGGGGCTGTGTGTGTTTGTGTGCATGGCGTGCATGTGCACTCTTCAGGGGCAAAGGTGTGAGTGTGTGCACATGTGTGGTGTGGGTGTGTGAGTATGAGTACAGGATGATGTGGAGTTCATTGCGTGGAGGTGTTTGTTGGCTGTTACAGCTGTGACTAGGTGGGTTTTTGTTCTGGGTTCTCATTTGCTTCCTTCAGTCTGTGTATCTATCTGTTTTGCTGTTTTATATTTGTGGCTCCGTAGTACAACTATCATATTGAGCAGTACCAAGTCTGGTTCCTTGGTATTTACTCAGGTGAACTGACATCCTTCACACAAAAATGTGACCTTGGTGCTTGACTCATAATTTTGAAACATTTGAATATAACTGAGATGTTGAAAAATTGTGGTTCATGAGACAGTGTCATGTTGCTTAGTATAAGGTTAAAAAATGACAAGATGTGAAACCTTAGTTACATACTACTAAATGAGAAATGGTGATCTGTAAAGGCCATGTACATACTGTACAACCCCAGCTGTTTCACATGCTAAAAAGGCAAGCCTTCTGAAGATAGTGAAGAGTTGAGAGGTTGTAGAGAAAGGAAAATTGAGTAGGAAAAGCCCTTTGCATTTATGGAGTAAAAAAAATGAAGGAAGTGGATTGTACACTTGTCAAAACCTACAGAAAATAAAACAAGCATAAGCCTTGTTGTAAACTGTGGACTTGGATAACAATACAGTCTGAGTGTGGTAAACAGTTCTTGCCCAGTGGCAGGGATGTCTGAGACTTCTTTGGACTTGATTCTCAATTATGTTGTGACACTAACAATATTCTAAAAAAGAAGTTGAGGACACTTTGTTTTGTTTTTTTTTATAAAGAAGTTTTAATGTCACCTTCAAAGATAAAAAGTAGATCCCAAAACTGGGGTGTTTATAAATGCATGGTACTTCTAGGAACTGGTTTAAATTTAAAAGTGGGTGAAAATAAGAATGTACTACTTATAAACAAAATTATAAAAGAGTTTTCCTTTTAAAGCTGTTAATTTGGCAGGTGTCACCCACACAGTGATAATGCAAAAAAGATACAAGCTTGTCAGCTCTTGGTAGGACTAAACTTCAAGGAGTGAGCATTGACACTTATAAAAACTCATAATGCTTCCTTTCTGAGACACTCACCCTGCAAACAGTTGTGAACTTGTAAGCAAAGCATACATCTAGATGCTTTAGGTGCAGATAGGCACTTTCTGTCTTATGGATGAAAGGCCTGTAGGAGGCCAAACTCCTCAGCAACTTTTATAATATGAATGATTCATTGATTAATTATCAGTTGTTTAAAACTGTATTTTTTAAAAGGATTGTGTTAATTATTTGCTTGATTCAACTTTTAAAATTTATACTGAGCCTTTCTTTTTCACACCTACAGAACTGTAGAACATCAAGCTTGCTGGTTACTTCTACTGAGTATTTCTTAGATGTGTTAATAGTTAGAAGAGAGAATAATTGAGCAGCTCCCCCAGCTCCAGTTGTTTATGTCTGCTGCAGGAAATACCATGGATTTCAATTCATTGTTCCAAGCATATTTTGACCTTTCTCATTTGTACCTGTTGTGATTTGCCAGCAGTTTTTTAAAAAGAAAAACGAAAACAAAACTAATTGTATAATACAATTTTTTTCTTAAAAATAGTGATTTCCAGTTCTCTCTCTGTGACCCAGCAGGACAGTGGTGACTGCCACTTTTACCTGTGTCCCGTATATGCTGTTTGTAGTGTGAATGGTGCACAGTGATGCCCTCTGCCCACCTTTAGTCTGTGTTGCGGCACATTGTTGCAGCTGGGAGCTGCATGTAGATTCTGCTCCTGAGAGGGTGCTTCTCGTGGGGTCGGTGGGGTTTGTGATTGTAGTAAGAGTACATTTACAACAGATGTAGTTTAAATTTTGTATCTGTGGCTACCCTCCCCCATTTTGTCTATTTGTGCCTTATATATTCTGGATTAGATTGAGGATATTTATGCAAAGCAGAAAAAATTGGATATTTTTCTAAGAAAATAGAATTTAGTAAAGTTAATTTTAATAAAGAACTTATGTTAACCTCACAAAATAGAGAAAACTCTTAGATTTGTTAGCTGGAATTTCACAGGCTCTACTAAACTCTTAAGGAATGTGCTGTGAAAATATAACTGAAGTTGTTACAGATCGTAGAAAATAACCTTAGTTGTCACAGGTCTGGTCATAGAACCTTATTGCTATCTCCTCTGTTTACTAATTACAAGTCTTACTTGAGATTGGTGGAGAAGTTCTAAATAAGTGATTTACTGTTTCAGCTCAAAGCCAGGTGTCCTGCTTGGTGGGAAAACCCTGAACACAACACAGACAGGTAGATCTGTTGTTAAAACTGTTTTATTAGACTGTGATACGAGCCCCAATCACCAAACAAGTGACCAAATGTTCCACAACTCTGACTGAAAAGACTGAAGATCTCTTACTATATTCTGAGCCTCCTACAGATGGGTAAATGGTCAGTGCAAAAGGAGAGTCCGCAAAAGAGCAGACTTCACAGAACTGAAATAAAACATAAATAATCATAAACGAAGAGAAATGTAAATGAAATTGTCTGTTTAAGACAGGGCCTCTTACTCTGCCATGGTGGTGCACACCTTGAATCCTAGCACTCAGAAGGCGGAAAAGGCCTGATCAAGATTAAGTTTTAGGACAGCCAGAGCTACATATAGAGACCCTGCCTGAAAAAAATAAAATAAAAAGACGTAGTTTCTTGTAACCTGCCCACTCTGGTCTCCACCTTGCTCTGTAGCTGAGGCTGGCCTTAAACTCCAGGTCTTCTGCTTCTGCCTCCTGGGAGGTGCGATAAAAGCATGCACCACTGTCCCAGCTCAAAGCTGCACTTGTATAGACCATGTTTTCATCTGTTGTCAGTTGTTACACTGTGGTGTGGTGGTAATGGGAACATGTGCGGTTACAACCTTGTGGGTGATAATTTAGCCAGGATCTGTCAAAACTGGACAGGCACCAACCCTTAGACTTGGCACTTTCTTGTAAGAGCTCTTTTTAGAGAAACTGGGACTAGTCGGTGTGAGAACAGTCATTGCAATCTTGGTTCTTAAAGTAAACAATCATCAGTTGTCAGGGTACCACGATGCACCATGATGTGTTAGGCTGCAGCTGCTGCAGGTAGGTTGAACGGTATAGAAATAGCAGCACCAAAGGGTTCTAATGACATACCTCATACAGGTGTTAGAACTATTACTATTTGTCATGAAAGGAAGGTGACACAAACTAAAGTGTATTTGCTGATATGTTCCATAGAATATTTCTGGAAAGATACACAGACAGCTGTCAGTAGTGGGCTCCTCCAGGTGGGGGACCTAGAGGGTAAGAAGACAAGTCAGTTATGCCATGAGAAAGAAGTTATTCAGTGCTTAGTCTTTTGTACCTTGTGTGTTTCAGCCCCCTGAGTTAAACTCAAAGTCATTGCATATTTTCAATTCTTGAGATGTAATTGTGTATCTATTTTTGGTGAAAAGGTCAGAACCGTTTTCTTGTTACTTGATCATAAGTTCTGGAGAAATGTCAATGTCAGTTTTCTTTCTCCAATTCAGGCTCTCCAGCTGAACTGTCTCCTACTACTCTCTCTCCTGTTAATCACAGCCTGGGTGAGTTGCTGTTTCTTCCATCTGTTTTCACCACATTAAGGAAAGTTGTCTCTGGAGATTATATATATATACCACCTGAATCAGTTTACTTTTCATATATATATATATATATATACACACACACACACACACACACATACATACATACATATATATATATAACTAATTTATATATGAGAAAATTTATATATATATATATATATATGAGAAATGTAAACTGATTCAGGTGGTGTAGATGACTGTCTTTAGAAACGGCTGATACTGTAGTTGGTACTGCCTGCTTTCTCATGACGGTTAGACATTTATGAGACAGTCTGAGTCATTAAAACTGTTCTTTATGAAGTTGAGTAAGGTTTTGACGGGTGTTTATTTAGGGTGTATCTTAGAGTGGCAGTCAGTAGAAAAGTGTACATACTTATGTCACAAATATATGATCACATTCATATTGCTCTAACCCTCATATACCCTACTGTTTCATAGTCTTCAGCTTCTACATATTTGGAATTTATTCTGCAAAATTGTCTTGGTTTTTCCTTGTGATCTTTCTTATAGTACATCTCAACAAAAGTGAATTACATGTGGTCCTCATTTTCTGATAGTAAGTTGTTTATTGGTGCTGTAATTGGTTTTCACTTGCATTTTTGTCCTTCACTCTGCTTCTTGCATGTATGAGAATAGACAGATGTCAGGGAAATATTTTGATTCTCCCACTATAGTATCTCTTCTCTGTGGCTTTTGACTTTTCTCTTTACTCAGCTTTATATTTTGTCCTAGCTAAAATTACCATCAAGATGTGTTTTAGAAATGCACCCAAATTCAGCAGACTGGTCTGTTTTCCTCTGTTGTTGTTTAAAACTGATATTACTCCATACATAACTTTATGAGTCAGAGACATTTTTTTTAAAACTTTTATCTGGTCTGATTTATGACGTGGAGGATGTTCATGGTGCTCGCTCTGTTTCATCTTGAGTTGTTCATACAACATTTCTTCCTTTACTTCAGATTTGCAGCCAGTTACTTACTCGGAACCCGCATTTTGGTGTTCAATAGCGTATTATGAACTAAACCAGAGGGTTGGAGAGACCTTCCACGCATCGCAGCCCTCGCTCACTGTAGACGGTTTTACAGATCCGTCAAACTCAGAGAGGTTCTGCTTAGGTTTGCTCTCCAACGTTAACCGAAATGCTACTGTAGAAATGACAAGAAGGCATATAGGTATGTTTTATTTTCTTTGTGTGGAAAAATACAATTTGCTCACGATTTAGTATTTGATATTATATCAAAAGCTTGTATGGAAAAGCCCACTTTCATCTCCATCCGTGAGTCCCTTTAATAGCACCTTGGTGACAAATTTGCAAACTTTTGTCTTCAGTGTTACCTGTATTTGGCACTCTTGATAGTGGGAAGTCCTTTGGTAAAATAACTAATTTGCTCAGTCTCTTTTAGTAAAAAAAAAAAAAAAAGAAAGAAAGACAGTCCCATGTTCAATCATGATCTGTTTTCATTTCCCCCACCTCTAAGGATTTTACATATAATTAGAGGCTTCAAAATATGATACAGGAATTTCTGACAGTCCCTTAAAACATCTTGGCACTACTTTCCCAACAACTCTAAGGTGCTGCTTGCTACTTCTTTACAGCAGAAAGCACAGCATTCTGGGGGCTCAACACATGGGACTTCGAATCTGAGATGAAGTGTAGATCTTATGTGAGAAGCCAGGTCTTTGTTGTGCCAGACATTAAAGAAACTTGTCAAACTGTGAAATATTCCCACTTGCTCCTGATTTAAGTTTGAAAAGGGTTATTTCTCATAAATCTTGTTTACATTAATAGATTTGTTTTAAGTTTTTAAAAAATTAACACATTTTTATCTCAGTTTTCACATCTAATGTGGAAAGCTTCCATGATTATAATTTACAAATACCTAAATTATCTGGGAACCTTAGTATTTTGTGAGGAAAAAGTATAGAGCTTCAAATAGCAAGCATCATCAGATTGCTTCTTTAACTTCAACTTTCTTCTGCCTGTTTGAGATTAACCATTTCCTCTCGTGAAAAATGATGTTGATTACCAGAAGTCGATACTGACAGTGTGAATGAGAACACTGGAAAGTGTGTGTCAGCTGTGTGAATATTTCAGGTCTTGTTCATTGGCTCATCTTGCTATCAAGGAGTCCAGACACCACTGCAGATAAAAGCTGTGAACAGCCCACACTGACTTCAGTCACATAGGGTTTTATTTTCTATGTTTGTGTGTTTTAATTAAACCTTTGTATTTTAAAGAAAATTAATAGTTTTCTTTGTACTTTTTCATATCTCCCAACGGAATTTTACTTGACTATAATTTTAGATTATCTTTTACATTTTTTTAAGCTTATATTTGTTTATCTTGTAATTTGGTCAGGGAATAGTCTGAAAAGTCTACATTTCTACTTACTTGCTGTACTAACTTGCTCTCCCTGCCACCCAACACTGTGCTGGAGGTTAATCCAGGAGTCTTGCATAGGCACACTGCCCTCTGGGTATCTCTTCAGACTTGAACCTCATTTTTCCTCACAGCTAAATGCATGGTTGAGGTGCACCTAGTCTTAAGACAGCAGACGCCAGCATCTGCAGTTGCCCTCTGCACGCAGCTGTTTGATCACTTAGTCCTCTGCTGTGTAGCAATGGCTGATTTGCTGCCACTTCAGCTACATCTTAAAAGTCTCTTAACCTGGTATGTGATTACACTGCAAAGTAGGCATTTACAAAGCCGGGTGGATGTGATATTTTTGAGTCTTTTCTTAGTGGGATCCTTAAGAAAAAAAATTGCCCAGACATTAGTGAATTTCTTTAAAATTAACTCAATTTTTAAGTAAATTTTAAAACAGTAACTTGTATGAAGCTGTCTCACTATTACATACTTTTCTATGTTGAAATATTTTTATGAACAATAATTTGAAAATTGAAAATAATTGTTAAAAATTTTTGGGAAAGATGCTATGGTATATTTCAGAATTACAGATTAGGAAAATAAGGCTCTGAGAAGTCATGGGAATACCTTAGAATATTTCTTAGATGACTTTCAGGAACACTGAGGAGCGCAAGTGTTCCGAAACTAACCATGTGTATTTTGTTTTAGGAAGGGGAGTGCGCTTGTATTACATAGGTGGGGAAGTTTTTGCCGAGTGCCTAAGTGATAGTGCAATCTTTGTGCAGAGCCCCAACTGTAACCAGAGATACGGCTGGCACCCTGCAACAGTGTGTAAAATTCCGCCAGGTATGGTTTCAACCACGTAAATAAACCTGTGTATATTAGCTTGCTTTATTAATTTTTCTAGTTGCTGATGACCTTAGGAATTAGGAGCTGATTTGCATGCTCATTCTAAAACATAGATCCTTTTAAAATTATTTTCTAATGATAACTTTTTTTATATTTTACTACTCGATTCTAGGCTGTAACCTGAAGATCTTCAACAACCAAGAATTTGCTGCTCTTTTGGCTCAGTCTGTTAACCAGGGTTTTGAAGCTGTTTATCAGCTAACTCGAATGTGCACCATAAGAATGAGTTTTGTGAAGGGTTGGGGAGCAGAATACCGGTATGAATTACTTGCTCAGTTGTGACTGTTTTTATTCCCTTCTTTGCATCTTCTCTAGTTCATTTATGTCTGTTCTCAATAGATTTTTGTGTAAAAGAATAAAAGAAAGGGCAAGGGTGTAGGATGATTGATTGTTTTGTGTGAGGTGCTGGATTTAATGTTCAGAAACACAAACCAGGTGTGGTGATGTGTGTCTAGGAGTTCATGGTCATACTGGGCTACATGAGACCCTTAGTTAAGAAAGTTGGAGGCCTGTGGATAAGAAACTTGAACATTACTGTGCTGGTATTATAGAAGATAGGATTAAATTATATGGAAACATGCATTTTAACAATGTAGAATGTTAAGTACTATGAAAGGGTACACTTGAAAGGTTATGTTATTTTATAAAACCAGAGGTGTCTACTTTGTACTCATGGAAAGCTTCCTGATGGAATGGAATGGCATGGGAGCTAGGTTCCAGAAGATATATACAGGATTCAGGTGATAGGAAAGGGCAGTATGGAAACTGTAATTTTGACAGCAGAGTAGAACTTGGATTAGAAGTAGAATAAGGCGGGACAGTTCAGCTGAGATGAGATCAGCTGAATAGGCTCCCCTGCCTGTGGTCTCACTTTGCATTACTCTAGTCATGGATGTTAGTGTTATGTACCTCCCAGCCTGCTATATATGCAGGCATAGCAGAAATTCTTGTACATATAAACTCAGATGCCTGTACTTGAAAGTTGGCTAGAGCATACCAAAAACCCAAAGGATCTACTGGACAATAATTCTAAATGACAGCGTGCTAAAAAGCAATTTGTATGTGCTTGGACATTTAGCGCCCCTCACAATGCCTTTAATTAGGTGCATGTCTTGTGTATATATGGGTCTACGCTTGTGTGAGTGCTGGTACCTGTGAAACCCAGAAGAGGGTGTTAGGTCCCCTAGAGCTGGAGTTATAGGCCTTTATGAACTGCCAGATATGGGTCCTGGGAACTAAACTTGGTCCTCTAAAAGAGCAGTACATACTCTTCACTGCTGAGCCATCTCCACCTCCTTGAGTGTCCAATCCTAAATGTTATTGGGCATGAATTGTTTAAAGATGGAGAGCTGATAATGGCCTTTTATCATGTTTGAAGGACACCTTGTTGAAGAAGCAAAAGTAAATGTATTGACTAATTTTGTAGCAAATAAAATAGAGCTAAATCCAATGCCTGAGAGTAGAGTAACAGAAATGTTCTGTGATCTGGGCAGTAGGCAGTGGCCCCTTTGTTACAGTGCTAGAAAGTTTTACTTTCTTTACCTTTTAAACCAGAAGCCTGAGGGACGTGGCTGACAAGAATGTTGCTTGTTGTGTTCCTTAGAAGAGGAAGTTCAGCGCCAAGTCTTAGTTATGTGACAAGGATTTAGCTTGGGTCAGCAGACTTTAAATTTGAATCTTTTTCCAATTAGACTTCATTTGATACATGGAAAAGTATGGTGACCATATGTGTCAGTTTCCTTGGGGCAGTCTTTACTGGTTTTTTTTTTTTTCTCTCCTCCCAGCTTCATTATTAGTAGTATCTAAATTTTCTCTCATACGTGTCCCATTTGAGGCTATAGGTAGATAACAGTATCAGTATAATAATTTAAAATCAGAAGGAAAAGGTGTTTTTGTAAGTCTTTCAAAAAGATGAAGTTCTAGGGAGATGGCTCAGTTGTTAAGACTCATAAGTTAGCAAGCGTAAGGACTGAGTGTGAATTCCTAGCACTCCTAAGAGCCAGACATGCCTATGTGTGTTGACAACCACAGCGTGGGACAGGGCTGGGGATTGCCACCTGGAGGCTGGGGAGCAGATGGATTTTAGGAGCTTGCTGGCCAGTCGGTCCACGCAGAAGAGGGAGCTTCAGGTTCAGTGAGTGACCCTGACTCAAGGAAGCAAGTTAAAGAACAATTGAGGAAGGACCTGACCCCCGACCTCCGACCCCCAACCCCTTCTGGCCTCTGTATACCTGCATTCATAGGCAAAAGTGTACTACACATACATAAATACAATTTTGTAAAAGGACAAAACTCATTAGATCATTTTAACAATAAAAATCAACCATTTTCAAACTAATAATTTTACATACAAAATTAACAATTATTCTAAACTAGATTTTGTTATACACAGCCTTTTGATTTCCTAATTGCATTCTGTGTTCTTTGAAACAGGAGGCAGACAGTAACAAGTACTCCGTGCTGGATTGAACTTCACCTGAATGGCCCCCTGCAGTGGTTGGACAAAGTGTTAACTCAGATGGGATCCCCTTCAGTGCGATGCTCGAGCATGTCCTAGAGTCCGCCACCAGTCATGCTCATCAGAGACTCCGTGCAACAACTCTTCCGTCGTAGTGTTTGTGTATGATCCCGTGGACTGTTCGCTAGCCAAAAATTCCAGAGCGAAAACAGCACTTGAGGTCTCATCAGTTAAAGCACCTTGTGGAATCTGTTTCCTATATTTGAATATTAGATGGGAAAATTAGTGTTTAGAAATGCCCTCCCCTAAGGGGGAAGAGAAGACTGAAAGACTTGATGTCGTCTTGTTGGGCATAAGACAGTGTCCCAAAGGTTATTAATAACAGTAGTAGTTATGTGTACAGGTAATGTATCAAGACCCAGTATTGCAGTACTATGCTGTTTGTATACATTTTTAGTTTGCATAAATGAGGTGTGTGTGCTGCTTCTTGGTCTAGGCAAGCCTTTATAAAGTTACAGTACCTAATCTGTTATTCCCACTTCTCCGTTATTTTTGTGTCTTTTTTAATATATAATATATATATCAAGATTTTCAAATTATCGTTTAGAAGCAGATTTTCCTTGTAGAAACTAATTTTTCTGCCTTTTACCAAAAATAAACAAACTCTTGGGGGAAGAAAAGTGGATTAACTTGGAAATCCTTGACCTTAATGTGTCCAGTGAATCTTAGCAGTCATTCTTTGTGTTTATTTCCTGCCGAATTGCATTAGAAGGAGACCTTACTGGAAACTTCCAAGCTCTTCATCACATTTCTGTTGATACAAAACAGTACAGCATGATATCACTCTGGTAAAAAGTTGTACTGATGGCTTCTGGGGTAGTTAGTTAAACCTGAGTCTGGTAAAGGTTTGCAGAGAGTAAGTCCTTTTGTTTTATAACCAAACTTCGGCAGATAATAACTGACTTGTATAACCTGTTGGTCTGTTGATTAACTTTTGTCTCAAAACATGCACAGGTGGCAGTATAATTATTTTCAGGGCTATTCTAGAATCATCTCAGTATGTGTTTCCTTCTTCCAAAGTCAGTCTAATAATAAAGTACCTTTCTGTAAAGGCAGCCGACCTTCTGCCTCGTTGTATTATAAAGTGGACCTTTTGTATGTGGAGTGACACTGAGGTATGGTCAGCAGATAGGGCCATCAAAGTATATTCTATGTATTTATGAATGGAATGTTATATGATTTCAAAATTTTAAAGATTGGGAGCTAAGCCTTTTAGCCAGATATTTAGCCTGCAGTTGCCTGTAGTCTGAGCTCTTCTTGACTAGTCCTCAGTGTGTGGTTCACTGACCTTTCTGTTCTGCAGTAAGGAGATCCCAGCTGTTCTGTTGGTCCTCCATTGTGCGGCACACAACAGTCATGCCCAGTGTTGACTCCTTTCTTGTTTGCAACTCTGTATAAATGGAAAATATTTCCTGGTCTCCTTTTTGTAAATTTTCATATTTTTGCAGACAGACACCTTTGATACTTACTCTTTGAGATCATTCTCACATGTATGTAAAGGTATCATTTTGATGCTTTTCAACACTTGGTTGTTTTCTATTTGGTATTTTCCATTTTCCTATATTTGTGTGTATGTGTTCATGTAAATTTGGTATAGTAATTTTTTATTCAAATATTTATTGTTCACCTGTTAATGTGCCATGAACTTCCTTAACCTTTGGGTGAAGGTGAACAAGATAGCTGTGGTACCTGCCTTTGCTGAGACAGCAGTTCGTTTAATGCATATTCATGTGTCTGCATAGTAGGTAAACAGGTTGCTTTGTAGAGAATGGCAGGATGCTTCTGGTTAGCAGAGGGAAGGCATCTGGGAAAGCGATGTTTGAGCTAACCCTGGCCTAGAAGGAGTAAGCCATGTGAAGAGCCGTAGGAGATCAGCACTGCTGGGACAGCATCAAACCCAGAGGCTCAGGCTCAGAAATTGACTATCAGGCATCGTAATTGTGCACACACCTTTATGTGAAGGTGAGGTTGTTCTTCAGATTATAATCTGTAGAAGGTGTCACTGCTTTGTGATAGGTTGCTCCTGTCATCTCATTGCAATCCATTCCTCAGACCTTTGTTGTAGAGGTTTCTTTCACCAGGTCAGTGCCACTTAATTTAACAACTTCCTTTATGTAAATATTCACTAGTATGGAGCCCCACTGCTTGCTTGTGGACTTATTGCTGCATACTGATTGTCACTCCTTCTAGTGCCCATCTGGTGATAGAGCAAATGTCCTGGGCGTTATTGCTGTTGAGCCTGCTGGAGTTAAGAACTGTAAACTGCCCCTCATTGAAGTGTTCACAGACTAGAAAACTTGTGCTGTCAGGGGACAGTTCTGGGAGCAGAGGACATGCTAAACGAAGTGATGCCGACAGGAGTACACATTTCCATGATTTGGGTTGAGGTGTAGCTTTTCTGTACAGTGTGAAATGGGGTTTTTCCTTGGAGACACCTGCACCATTGAGCATGGACTGACACAGCATGAACTCTCGTGTGGAGAGTGTTCATGTTTGCTTTCCAGTGAAATGCTGTGGCCTGCATTACACTTGGTCTGCTGTGGCCTAGTTTTTGTTAATTTTCACATACTCCCTTTACCCCCTTTTTTGTAGGAATGGTTTTTGTTCCAGATGGTACCTAGGGCCTCCTCTTGGTTGATTTGTCTTGATTTAACTTATCCACGTTATTTATCATCTTCCTTCAACAGGAATTTGAAAACCTTTTAAACCATGTTAGAACATTGAGCTGGATTAGGCCAGTCCTTTAGAATACCACTGAATTGGGCTCTGACTTAAAGACACTTTCCTTCTAGGAAACTGCTGAGCCACAGCAGTTAACCCTGACTAAGCATCATGACATGTACTCAGTCAGCATAGTCTCTGATGCCTTTGTTCACCCAGCCACTGTGAGTCTGTGACTGTCCTGGCCCTCAGGTTGGGCTTAGTCCGTGGGAGTTACTGTTGCTTTCAGGGCTTGTCACTTTGCCAGAAGAAATCTGCATGTGTTTTCTTGAGAGCTAAATCTTCTAATTTCTGTACATTCATCTGAATTCCACATATTTTGCCATTTGTTTAATATCTAGGGTTTTTTTTTTAACTTAAACAATATTCAGTTTAATGTAGCTCATTTGTTTTTTAAGCTGTCATGTTTTCCCCTTCATTTCTTTAATTTCACCTTTGTCGTGCCTTTGTTGTCCATTCATCCAGACTAAAACTCCAGTGAAAGCAATCAGGTAAGTATGCTCTTGCTAGTTGAAATCAAAGAAAGCAGATGCCTATTTGTTTTCTCTACCTCTTCCAAGAGCTGCCCATATGTATCTATAAGACTTTTTTTTTTTTTTTTTTTTTTTTTTTTAATTTTTTTAATCATTTTTCTCTTTTCTTTTATTTATTTTTTTTTTTTTTCTTTTTTTTTTTTTTTTGGCTAGAAAATAGTTGGTCTGGAAGTGGACTGTAAAGTAGCAGGAGACAATCTAAGCTGGCCCTTCCAGTTTGCTCATGTGTTCCACTTCTCTGTGCAACTTTCTTAAGTGTTTATTCACAAGGCACTCTAGGGCCGTTTCTCCTACTGTGGTTTAAGGCTTTGTCCTGATATATCAGAATTGTTACTTGTTTCACTTTTGGTATTTTGAGACAGGGTTTCTCTGTGTATTCTTGGCTGTCCTGGACTCACTTTATAGACCAGGCTGGCCTTGAACTCACAGAGATCTACCTGCCTCTGCCTCCTTGAGTGCTGGGATTAAAGGACTTGCCTCACTTTGCTAAACCCAAGGCTTCCTTGGGCCTTGCCCATTCCCATGAGCTATAGTTTTTCTTTGTACATAGGTCTTTCTCCCCTTAGTACTGTGCACTTCTTTGCAGGCAAGCTAGTGTTGTTCCTTAGTCTACTGTTTGAATTGTACAGGTGGCTCTGGAATTTTGCCCAGTTAAATATCCTTTTGACTGACAAGTAGCAAATTGTCAAATATTATTATAATTTAGATGGTAACAGCATTTCCATCAGTTTGGGACACTCAGTGGTTCTCAACCTTCCTAATGCTTCTCTGCCCTAATTCAGTCCCTTGTGTTGTGGTGACCAATTTCCTTGCTGCTTCATAACTGTAATTTTGCCTCTGTTATGAATCATAATGTAAATACCTGTTTTCCATGGCTACAAGGCAGCTGCTGGGAAAGGGTCATTTGACACTTCAGGGGTGATGACCCACTGGTTGAGAACCACTGTTCTAAAGTGTCAGACTTCATATAGTAAGAGTCTCCAAAGATAGGTCCCCACTGTTAGTTCCTTTTCTCTTTTCAAGCTTGCCTGATTATTTCACGTGTTCAGATTACCTTTTGTTTGAGGAGATTAAGTATAATTTCTGAGTTTCAATTCTTGCAGCCAGAAAATGCTGAGTTAATCTCATGAGTGTTTCTGTGATAAGAACTGTCTTCATGTTTGTGTAATTTCTTGAATAGAGTCTTTGACCTTGGACATTATACCTGGCTTATGAACATGAGATCTCTCGAACCTTTTAGTTTTAGTATATGTGTGTGAGTGTATACACATATACACCCTCAGAAAAACTAACAATGGGGTCATCCAAAGTGATGAGTGATTACATTGTTTATCTTAGTAAAGACATTCTTCATTTGTAGACATTTTCCTCTTGTGACATAGTCAGTGTATTTAAAATGAAACCTACCCAGTCCTAACTTAGCCATTCAGCTGGTATGCTGATATTTAGGCACTGTGGTGAATCATGGGGAATTCATTGCCATCAATATAGCTATCCATATACCTCTTCCCTAAACTGTATACCCAGTGCTGAGGATAACTTGAATAGCACATGTCTTTGCCATGAGATCAAGCTCCCTATACTCAATGCTAGCCTAAATTAAGGTGGTGCAGGCTTGTCTTAGCCGTAATCAACAGAAAGGATTTTTTAAGGCTTCTTGGGGCCTCTGTATCCTAACCAGCTCAGTGTTACAGTCACAGCTTGCTCCTGTGAATCTTAGAGTGGACCCAACATTCACAAATGCTTGAGATGTAGGATTCCTTGGAAAAAGGGATGGTAGACATGAGATTGTTCATTAACTCTGTACATTAGGACATTGGCATTTTTCTTTTTTGAGAGAAAATGACATTCTGCCTTCTCAAAAAGTCTTCAAAAGTGAATTTGCTTGTCTCTGATTTGAAATAATTATTGACAACCCCATTCACAGTCTAATAATTTAAGAACAAGGGTGAAACAGAGTTATGGAAAACACTGATTATTCAACCTTCAAACCAGCTGTTACACTTCCTACCTGTGGCTTTAAGTCTCCTGGCTGGTTACAGTGTTAGTCACTGGATAACTTCATGAGTCCAAGACTATTAAGTTTTGCCCTTTACAGTGTCAGTAGCATAAGAGTTGCCTTTGGGGGAGCATTTGTAGAGATGAAAGTCTCTGTTCTTCATGGAAAAGGTCCCCAAGAAAATGCCCTGTCGCTGTCAGTGTTGACATTCATGGACTGCTCCCACTGAAAGAAACAGGTTGTGAAAGGACCATGCCTGGTCCCTCCTCTCAGGAGTGGAACCAATTATTGGCTTATAGAGGTATTTAACAGAGGTTGATTTAAATCAGGAGAATAGTTACATTTAGCAACTAGGTAACATGCATGAATGTTTAACTTAAAATGGATTTCTGGAAGACACCTGACTTCACCCTCTGGCCTCTTGACTTGCCCACATACTTGTGCACAGACTGATCCACCCTATTTATTGGAAAAACACAGAACTCAGATTGGGCACACATTAGAACAGCTTTACCTTGGGCTCCATTTATGCCTTTCTTGACCCTGACATTAGTCTTTGAGTCTTTTTATTGGTGGTAGTAATCTGTAGCACTCAGCACTTTCTAGGTGAGCTAAATGAAGAGAACCCACACTGACTGACTGACTGACTGACTGACTGTAGTTTTTTTGGAAACCAAATCAGTCTCAGAGAGTGCTGGTGGCTCCTGCCCCAAAGCTGGCCTTCCTTGGAGCACAGTACACAGGGGTGTGGCTCTCTACCTTTGCAAATACCTTCAAACTTGTCTGTCTTCATATATGAAACAAGAATGTGGGAGTGTTGAAGGTTTTCTTATTTTAAAAGGATATAAAGTGATACAAGAAACTGGGGTGTTCACTTAGCTCAGAAAATATCAACACATGGTAAGGTGCTGTGTAACTGAACAGCAGGAAGCTTGTGAAGTCATGTCTGAGAATGGGTCTCAAGGGTAAAGTCTGGTGTGCTACCACTAATTGTGCTTGGTCTCAGTTAGCTAACCCTAAGGTTTCTCCAGGCTTCTAGCCATTTAACCAGTTTGGAGGAAGTAGCTTTTAGCATAAGTCTGATATTCTTAAACCCAAATGTACTGGGAAATTCTCTCTAGACATGCTAAGGAATGGTCCGTGACCAGTTACCCTATCCTGCCTGG